GCTAGAATTTATTTTTATCTCTTCTTTTCTTTTCTCCTACGCACGCTACACGCCCCCTCTTCTCTTCTTCTCTTTTCTTCTTTTCATTTATTTTTCATGAATAATAGGGAGACTTCTCCCATGTTTATGGATAATTAATATATTTTTCCAGCCAAAGTATTATTCTAGATTTGGATCTTCATGATTTGTGAGATCTAATTGATTTATATTCCCTATTCTCTTTTATTTATATATCTCTTGTGATTATTACCAATTGTGTTTTGATTGATTGATGCAAATTGGCCATTTGTTTGATTATTAAAACGCATATCGTTATTTAGAACGGTTAAATCCGTAATTGTTTGATCGTTCTAATATTTGTGGCAAATAGCATAGTTGACTACTAAGGGTTTTCAATTGTATGCTTAGGGAGATATATGATCTAGTCTAAATGATCCTACATGTGTGTTTGTTGGCTAGAATTGGTGGTCCTTCTAGATTTCAATGCTGTTGATAGATTAAATCCTATGATCGTATCTAGGGTTGTCTGTTGATTAGAGAAATAATTAGAGATCGTATCCTGATTATCGAACAAGTAAGGAAGGATAGGTTCTTAGGTCGTACCAATAACCATAACCAGTTTAATCGAGAATAGGAGAATTATCTTTGCATCTATGATCGAATCGTTGAACCATCTCTACGAGTTTTTCCTTTGGTTGGATATCTTCTCTATTTCTAATCACTCATTTTGTTCTCGTTTTATTTTCATCTCTAGTTAGATTTATTTTGTTTCTGTTTTGTTAGTTAGATAAAAATCATCAAACCCCCATTATTTTTATTTTTATTTCTTTCAAGAATAATTGCATCAATACTTTGTCTAGCCAATCCCTATGGATTCGACCCTGCTTACCACTACTACAGTTATTTTAAAAGCAGGAATTTATTATTGTTGGATTCGACACCCATCAATTTTTGGCGCCGTTGCCGGGGATTGGTTTCTAATTAGACTTGTTTTGGTGCAATATTCTTTTGTGCAAGAGACTTACATTTTTATGGAGTTTTATTCTCAGCAGTTCAAGCAAAATGGTGATCACAGGGAAAGCACATGCCTATCTGAGTTTTGTGGAATTTGTGGCGACTCCCAACACCCAACTCATTATTGCCCAACGTTTCTATATGAACCTCAAGGGCATTCTCAAGTTGGAATTTTTCAAGAGCCGCA